GTGTGTGTGTGTGTGTGTGTGTGTGTGTGTGTGTGTGTGTGTACACATATACATGCCATGACATGGCTTTGAAGCCTAGAAGACAACTTGTAGAAATTGGCTCTTTCCTTCTACCATGTGGGTCCTGAGGATCAAACCCAGGTTGTCAAGTCTGGGGGCTAGTGGCTTTAACTCCTTGGAAATATTTTGTGGGTCTAATATTATTAGTTCTTAGCTGGAGAATCTGAGGCTAGGAGGCCATCAAGTACCCTATGGTTTCCATCTCCAAAGCTCAGAATAAAAGAGAATAAACATTTCTACATCCCCAAGCTCTTTCTCTACAGGTACTTATAAATTCCTTTCCCTTCATTCAATATTAAATTCCTCCTACCTGATGTTTATTGCTCATCCTGTATGTATCTGATGCAGGACCAAGCTATGATGATCTAGCTATGAAAACATCATTGAACTCATCCTCACAAAGTGTGTAGAGGGGAAGAAATAGTAATCATTAAATAAAGGAACTAAGAGAGAGGTAAAAATAAGAATGGGCACTGTAAGGCAAGGTAACAGTGTTAGGTGTCCTGTCTCTTCTACTCCATCTTGAATTCTTTTCTCTTTCTGCCCACCCCTTTGCCTTGAATTACCTCCTTGAGAAAGGAAAGTCAAACATAGTTTATGCTGTTGACTTCTGCTTAGGTTTCTGCCTATTTCTATTACTATCCAATAACGCAAAATAGAAAGTGTTCCCAGCATTTGCAGAGGGTCTTACAAAGTATTCTCACTTTAATCGCTTGTTTTGGAATACATAACCCTCCCTTTGTAGATGAGAATGTCTGGAAGTATCAAAACTATGGCTTCATGGAGGTTTGTTCCCTGTGAGCTAAGGCCTTATTAGAATATTTCTTATTTGAATGGTGGGCTAATTTCTGGGCAATGTGCTTATGAGACTGGCTTTGGTCTCCACTCTGCCATTTATGAGCCCATTCTGTGTCTCCTTCTTTGTCTATAAAATGAGGATAATTACAACAGTATGATACAATGTGTAAAATCTGCTTACCACAGTGCCTAGCATATGGGAGAATTTGATCAATAATAGATGGTAGTACTGGACTGAAAATAATAATTTTCTAATGTTGGCTTTCCTATTTTTTTCTTTTTTAGTGTGGAACCTAAATAAAATTGGAATTATATATATCATTAGAGAATACCAAGAAGATCCTTGATCCATTGGGGAATTGGGCAGGGATCCAATGTTGCAGGATAAACAGAAGCAACAAGGCCCAAGGGGTGATTTTGGTTCAGGACCAAGGACAGTATCCAGCTTGCTCCCTTGCCCTTACCCTACTATGTGTGTCTATGGAGCTGAGTAGGACAGCCTCTACCCCAGACTTCTTTGTTCTGCACCTAACAACAAGCTCACAAACTCTCTGCACCTGTCCATGCCACCCCTCCCATCCCACATGCTTTTCTTCCTCTGTTACATTTACAAAGTCTTTCACAGTAAGGAGTAGGAAAAGTACAGGGACCATCTTTGCTGTTATCCCTCAACTCTAGCAGCCACTGACATTCTATAACTATATCTGAACTTGGCTTTTCTTAAATGAAACTTCACAGAGTCCATGGGTCCCAGAGGTGTCTTTGGGTCTTCTCTGTCTTCTTCCATCTCCCATCCCCTCTAGTTCCCTTTCATCAACTCAAGTCCTCCACACTTTACAGAACCAAACAACAGCCCCCTCCTCCAGTTTCAGATGACCTTTCCTGTACAGAACAGTAGCACTCAGCTTTGGAGGGCTTTCTGTGATTTATTATTTATGGCTTTAATCTTGTATCAATCAGTATGAAGTTTGGGGTGACACTTCTACTTGCTGGATGTGCAAAATTGAGTTCCACTTGTTTCTGGCTTCTGAGAGCTCACAGAACACAGAATGCAGCATGCAGGGGGATGTTATTACATGGTGAAAGGAAATGTTTGGTAGGAAATGGCCCCTCCTTTCTCAGCTTTGCCCAGGTATTAACCCTCATGTAAACATTCAGGATCTCATGATTAAAAAAAAAAAAAAACTGAAAATGTTCTAAGAACAGAAAGCAAGTAAGTGTGCTTGGGATAGCCCAGGCACCTGTGATGCTCTTTTATTTTTTAAATAGGTGAACTCATTTGTTTCTCTACCAGTTTCTTCAAAATATATAGTTAAGGTTGGAGACCCATGCTTGGTTAAAAAGTGCAGATCATATTTGAAATTTTAATGTATTTATATTTTTCTGGCTCCTTCTTTGTGTCTCTGTGTGTTGCATGCATGCATTCATGCATGTGTATGTGCACAAATAAGAATGTGTACACATGTGTGTGCATGCTTATGAAAGCTCTGGTTAACACTGAGTTAACTTTTTGCTGCCTACCTTATCATTTGAGTTAATGTCTCTCAAGGAACCTAGATCTCACCTCATTCGGCTGGATGGCCAGTGACCTCAAGGGATCCTCTGTTTCCACCTTCCCTGTGCTAGGATTGCAGGTATTTGCCACCATGCCTGTTTTGTTGTTGTTATTGTTTGCTTGTTTGTTTTGTTGTTGTTGTTTGTTTTTATGTATGGGTTCTGGGGATCAGACTTAGGTCTTCATGCTTGCATCACAGGCACTTGACTAATTAGGAGATCTCCATAATTCCATCTGACTCATTCTTCAGATCCCAAACGACTTGAAATGGGAACTAAGCTTCATTCAGCCATATTTCCAGGGCACAACACTACTCTTTAGCAGATAATTGATTTATGATTATTTATGTTGTACTATGTCTCATGGCTACAAAGAAATCAAGGACATTTTGACCCTGTCCTCAGGAGCACGTGGTCCAAATGAGAGGGTAGCTTTAGTAGTTAATATGGTGATGCAAGATATCAGTGCCTAGTGACAGCTTGGGATTTCTACTCTAGAGGCATATGGACTTACATTCTTTTTTCCTCTTGCCCTGTCATTACCACAGGGTAAACTACAGAGGACAGTCTTTTCTCAGGGCCCCACCCTGCTGCAACTAAGGTGAGTTTGTTTTTCTCAAATCTGACACTTGTTCTATCTCTGGCTTGTTTCTTTGCTCTGTGGCTGTCATCCTTCAGAGAGTGCCTCAAACAGACTCTTGGGCTTTCTTTTCTCTCCTTGTGTTCCTGTATGTTTAATTCCAGGACTCTGTCCATTACACAACTCCCCTAATCACTTGCCTCCCCTGTTCCAAAGGCAGGAGAATGTGGCTTTAGATATACACTGTGAAGAATGTTGGTACCAAGAATCCATCTTCTTCAACATACAGTCTGTGACAAATATCACTTTCATATGCTAACCTGGTCCTCCCCTCTGTGTGTGTGAGTGTGTGTGTGTGTGTGTGTGTGTGTGTGTGTGTGTGTGTGTGTGTATGTGCACTTTCACATGTGCATAAAAGAATTTTATAACTAGTTTCCTTTGAAATCTCTTGTTTCATCTTATGCATTTAAAATCATTCCTCTGAGAAGGGAGTCAGAGACCTTACTAATCTTCCACAGTAGCTGTGTCATAGAGAAAGTCAGAACCCCTTAACTCACGTCTGATTAAGTTTGACCTGAGTGGTTCATAACAGGAGCAAGTCAGGCAGAGAGCTTGGTAGGTAGAGAGGACTTCATAGATACTGATGTTTGCCATGTCTGGAGACAACATTTACTTATTTTTACTTAGTTGTGCTTGAAGAGAATAACACAATATTATAGGTTTGATATACAAGAGGTATGAATGTATTCATAGACTTGAATACACCTACCATACCAAACATTGGTAGGCAGGGTCTCATTTAAGTGTCTGGTAGGCATGGCTCACTAGAGAACTCAGGGATAGTTCTAGAATATCTACCAGCCTCAGCATCTGTCTTTCAAGAACAAGATTGAATGACTCTTGTGTTAAGCTTTCTTTTGTCCTCTAAAGATAATGCATTTATTTAGACCCACATTGCCTTCAGTTGAATAGTCTTAAGTCTTTAAGACAATCTCTTCATGGGACAACTTTCATGCGGCTTTGTCCAGGGAGTTTTGATGTTTTGGATTTTATTTGTACACTTAGTGACTTTCTCCAGTCCTGTGGACCTCTGTCTTGCTATGCATAGCCACCACCCCCCATTATACAGACAACATTTATTTCAATTGTTTGCTGTGAGATGTCTCTTTGTATGCTGTGAATATGTGTGACTCCCATTGGATAATAAATAAAGCTGCTTTGGTCTATGTCAAGAAAGCTTACAGCAAGGTGGCAAATCCAAGCAAAGATACAGAGAGAAGAAGGGCTGAGTCAGGAGAGATGTGAACCCATTGTCCAAGGAGCAACAAGATGTCACCAGACTAGTAACACCATGGTCACATGGCAACACATAGATTAATAGAAATGAGTTGCGTTAAGTTATGAGAGCTAGCTACCATGAAGCTTAAGCCACAGGCCATATAGTTTGTAATTAATATAAGACTCTGAGTAATTATTTTATAAGTGGATACAGGACAGCAGGTGGGAGATATTCATCTAGATGTCAGGGCCGAGCAGGACCAGAGAAACTTCCATCTACAATTGTCTATTCCCTGGCTGCCTTCAAGTCCTTTCTAGGAAGCTGGGTATATCCAGCATCCTTCCTCCCCCTCTTCTGTTCTCTCTCCTTTTTCTCTTCTTCCTCCTTCCCTATCATCTATCTATCTATCTATCTATCTATCTATCTATCTATCTATCTATCATCTATCTATCTCATCAATCCATCATTTATCTATCTATCTCTATTTCTATGACTATTTCTGTTACTCGGTAAAGGAATGTCAGATTACGATCTTTCCACCCCTCCACATCCCTTTTTTCTAAGTTCCTTTTGTCCATTGGAGAAGCCAGAAAGAGGATCTAGGAAGGGGGCTTTCTCGTGGGCATCCATGAATCATGGAGAAATCACTCTTCAGACAGGCTGGGTCAGATCCTTCTGGCCATCTGATCATCTGATGAGTCACCCAGACAGATAATGTGTCAGTGCTGTTCCCCTGACTGGCCCTAGATATCAAAATAGCCTGCTGCTCCCTCCATCTGGGCCCACTGCAGGGAACTGACTGACCTCTCCAAGAAAGTTGAACCGGTGAGGAGGGTGGGAGGGCTTACTGTGGCTGAGCTGGAGTTTAAACATTATAAGGCAGGTTAAGAGAGGCTTGTCTTACATTGTAGCCATCAAATCCAGGTCTTGGGAACTAAGGCCTTCTCCATAGCCATCTATTATTCTGCTTTCCATTTGAATGTTTTCTTTGTTAAGGTCTGGTTTTGTGACAATGAATAATGCATAGTGGATGAGGGCTGATATATCCAGGGCCAAAATGACAACAGTTTGTGAGCAGTGAGCACCTACCATACTAAGCAATCATTAGGCACAGTCATTTAACTCTCAGGTACATGTGGCTCATTCTGTGAGATTCGTTCTGTGCTGCAGGTTCTTATGGGGAACCTAAGTGCAGAGTAAGGGGACGGTAATTGATCATCTTAACTAGAACGTTTGGTAGTAAAAGGGTGGAACTGTTCATACTTGTGTCAGATAACAGAGAGAAAGGTGGGGCACCCCAGAAAGCCAGAGATAGATACCTGTTTGAACAGGAGTGTTTGGGGATCTGATGCCAAGTGGTTTCCTATCCATGCATTGCTTCCCAAGAGCATAACAGACGCAAAGTCAGCTTCCCTCTTCTCTTGTGGCTTGTTTTCTTCCCTTCTTGTCTCATCTAGAGATATTGGTATAAAGTCCAAACTCCTGTTTTTGTTGTTGTTTGTTTTTTTTCTTTTCTTTTCTTTTCTTTTCTTTTCTTTTCTTTTCTTTTCTTTTCTTTTCTTTTCTTTCTTTCATTCTTTCTTTCTTTCTTTCTTTCTCTCTCTCTCTCTCTCTCTCTCTCTCTCTCTCTCTTTCTTTCTGTCTTTTTTTCTTTCTTTCTTCCTTTTTAGTAAGTCCTATGGACTGTTCCGATGTGCTGTTAGAAATCATCAGTGTTATAAACTTTGAGTATGGGAAGTTATTCTAATTTGTCAGTGGATCTTAGTAATTGATAGAGGGATATATACTAGATAATGAATGTCTATTAGTGAAAAAAAATGAATCATTTGATGAGTCAAATGATTCCCAGAGGTGTGAGCAAGGTAGGTGTTACTGTCTTGGAGGGATATACATGAAGTTGGGATGCCCATGATATAAGGAGAAATGAGAAAGAGGTATACTGTGGCAGCATCTGCCAGACTTGTTTTCAATTCTACCACTAAGGCAGAGCCAGTGCTGTGTCTGAGCAGGAAAAAGACATGGTCTGATTGGTAATTTGGAAAGAACACTCCTGTGGTTGTGTTCCAGGTTAAGCCCAAGAGAAACTGGACACTGAAAGTATTTAGAACATGTTTTTAAAAGAGCTACTGAGTGCCCAGCATAATATAACCTTTTACATAATTGAGAGACCGCCAAGCCTGGGCAGTTCCACCCCAGCTTAGCATCAGCCCCTGGACACACCCTCTTTATAGCAATCAGTCACCTCTGTGGGGTACCTGAAAGCCACTCTTTCAGGAGACCAGTTTTCCCCGTTTGCTAGTTGGCTTCTCTCCTAATATTAGTCCATCTGCCATGTTAAGTAGCTAGCTGGATGGAAGGGATCTAGCAAGATTTGAAAAAGGGTCATTTCTGCGACCATGGCTGACCTGTTCATGTGATTCTCCTGACCTTATTTATTTTCCATGACCTTCAGGTTTTCTGAGAGTCAGGATATAATGTAGGTTTTCAGCTGTGGACAGGGTGCAGGAGGGAGCTATAGACATGGGTGTTCCCCAAGTCTGGCTGTGGTACCCATCACCCCACTAAAGCCCAGGGAACTTTGCTGTTTGCAATCCTATGTCTTGGAGTTTCCCACAAAGCATTACCCTGTCTGCCCGGGAGACCACAAGACTCTATGAAATGAAAGACACTGTTCACACTTATGGCGACTGGAATCCTATCTATATAAACCAGGTGATGTGAGGACCAATTCATTAACATTTTGCAGTCTGATGATGAATGGTGGAGCCTCTTTGATTAACTCTTTAATTGGCTTCCCTCAAGGGACAGGCAGCATCTAAGATAGTCCTAAACCAGTGAGGATTAGTGGTGTCCCATTTCTGTACTTAGAAGCAGTTGGACACACTTTCTTCCCTCTTTGAGCAAACACTATGCACTGCTTTCTCCATCCTCCCCTAGCTTGCCAGATTCTAGCCTTTCTTAGAGCATTCTCCTCCCTGAAACCTTTCTCTAATCCCTCGTTCTTACTGTCTCTCTTTAGTCGAATGCCAAGTCAGCCCCATTCTGATATTTCTTCATTCATTCCTTAAGCATCTAGACACCATTTGTCCAATGTATTTCACATTGGGATTATTTAGTCATAAATATTTGACAGCATCAGGCTGACTTCCTATATATACATCTCTCTATATATCTATATCTATATCTATATCTATATCTATCTATCTATCTATCTATCTATCTATCTATCTATCTATCTATCATCTATCTATCTATCTATCTATCTATCTATCTATCTATCTATCTATCA